CACATAAAACGAAGCAACTTAAATAACTTACATTAAAAGAAATGTTTAATAAAGTAAATAAATAAATATTAAGCTTTTTCTTTTGTAAATTTTGATACCCTTCAGATCATAATTGCTCTTTATTTCATAATTACAGTTTCATATTTTTAATTTTATAATTTCTTCATGCCATCTTACCAGATTTAAATCGATGATCTATAATCCGGAAAAAACCCTAATCTGGAATCGCCGAAGTCTTGACAAGTCCGGATTAAAGACTTTGTACTGTATATGATATTTGCAAATTAAAGCTTAAATACCTGAATAATATATTATAAATGCTTCAGAAATTTCATCAGAAACTGTTAGTTTTAAAAACCATTTATCTACGATAATTCCAGATGCTAAAGCAGTTATAAGATCATTTAAATATAACTCATGAATATGGTTTAGTTCAATCAAACACAAATTTGAAATTTCATTTCTACGCTGGAAAAAATTTCAGTAAACTTAAAATAATAAGACAATAAGGTTCTGAGCTTTTTTTTTTTTTTTTTTTTTTTTTTAATTTTAAAACTGCATACATTCTACATGTAGTTTACAGAAATTGCAATTTAAAATTACTAAAAGTTAAAATATTATGATCTAAAATACTGATTGAATACAAAAATGCTGACGTATAACCCTTTGCTCTTCATATACGGGTGCACATTTATAAAAATTTATCATCTTGCATGAGGTGAAAACATACTTAGGCATGGCTCTGTGTATTGATATACTTATTTTAATATACCAAGAAATTATTTAAATGATGACTTACACAAAGCAAGACTTCACCAACATTAAAAAAAGTACAGTATACTACAGTCAAAAATCGTTAATCCGGTCTCGTCGAGACATCGTCAATTCCGGATTATTGATTTTTCCTGATTATAGATCATCAGTTTAAATCTGGTAAGATAGCATGCAGAAATTATAAAATTAAAAATATGAAACCGTAATTTATGAAATAAAGAACAATTATGATCTAAAAAGGTATAAAATTTTTACAAAAAAAAAAAAAAAAAAAAACTTAATATTATTTTGTTTTACTTTTTGAACATTTCTTTTCAATATAAGTTGTTTAATTGCTTCGTTTTATGTGATAATACTTTCTCTTTAATTCTATAAACAGACATAATTTCTGTTCAGTTACAAAGTTCCGCTGTTCAAGTCCTAAAATTGCTGTGTCGAGAATACCGACTAATTTTGTCAATCGAAATTTTTTCATTTTCAATAACCCTCTGTGTCACTTTCTTTCTTCACTATCGGAAGCGAATTATAATGACGAGGAATTTGATTTAAATCATATAAAAGAAGGAGTACATCGAGATGAAATCGAATTATAAGCCAAATAAAATGAAAACATCTGCCCTGAAGATAAGGATAGTGCTGACAGATCAACTTCCAATTCACTGCGTGCTGCGATGTCCCCCCCCCTCCCGCCCAGAGCAGCGTGAAATTGATAAACAGATTTCGGAATGGTTAGGTCATTTTTTGCAGGAATTCCACTTTTGTTTAATGGACTTCGAAACATACTTTTGCTTTGTACATCCTTTACATATTAGCAAATATATATCGGAAATTCTATTTGACATAATCGAAATTCAAGCTTACCTTTATAAAATTGCTCTAACAGTCTGGAAAAAATAATAAGCCGGATCCAATTTGAAGATTAAGGAACAATGCAATCTGCAACATTAACTTAATTAGATAATTTTAGCTTAGCTTATACCGTCCGTTATACATTAAACACACATGCGTAAACGTATTTTGCACATGCGCACATGCATATTCGCAGCCATAAAGGTCTTACGCGTATGCGCATGCGTCAACGCAACGCACGCGCAGAAAGTTTGTAGGTTTGAGGTCTGGATTATAGAACATTCCGGATTATGGGTGTAGGAATTAATGACTTTTGACTGTATAAGCAACACTGCATATTCAACACCCACTTTCTTTAATATATATTTGGTGAATCTTTACATTATGGTAACTTGGCGATTTTTTGGTGAAAATTTAGCGACCAACCCTGCTAGTTTTGTTTTGGACGCCATTTTGTTTTCACGAAGTAAAGGAATTTTTTTTTTTTTACTCAGCATTTTTTTCCAACAATCTGCTAGCCGAATTACGCTTATACTAGAACTCTTATGGAACAAAAATGTTTCATCATGACAAAGATTAGGTGCGAAATTGGGAGAAAGTGCAGAATCGCAAACTGCTTCCCGAGTTTTTAAGAACTGCACATACACGGTATCCATGTACACGTCGACCTATTTTCACCTAAAAAAAACATCCTAGAATTCCACAAAAATGGCGTTGCGCACTCTTGACTTTATCTATGTACTCATTGACCTATTTTCACTTAAGAAGGTCAAAGAAAATTGATAAAAATCTCATTCTTCTTACTCTTGTAAAAAGCACCAAACAAATAAGTGGCTGATTCTGCACTTTAGCAGTGAAATTGTTTTTAAGTGCTAATTAGCTAAAATCACGATCAAAATTTTCCGGAAAATGTCACATTACATGTCTCATGATCTCTCATTTCTCCGAGACAAAATAATCTGTGATTCGAAGTGTGTACTTCTCAGATTATTGCTAAAGTCCTAGCTAGTAACCTTTATCGCCTTACCAAAATGTCGCCAAACTACCTGTTACCATATTCTAAAGATTAGCCATATATTTAAACGAAGAAAGGATTCTGAACTTAAAGTGATACTTTCCAATTACCCACACCCCCAATGAACCCCAAAAAGTTGTGATGTTATGTACCATGTTGCAAAAAATATATATATGTAGCAATTCAGATATGCATATACCATCCCCACAAATGGTTTTCAACATATCCAGATATATTTGCTAGCATGATTGCAGATTATGATCTCTCCAATGGGAATTTCAGCATTTCAGTCATCATCAGCAAAATCGGCAGTTTTCATCATCAGCAGCAAAATGTTGGACTGAACTTTCTACAAGCATAAACAGTAATGATGACTCAGTTAAAGGCCTCATATGTCTCTTTCTTCCTTATTTCAAGATTTTAGTGCCAAGATTGTAAACAATGTCTTCTTTATGTAGTTCTCGTATTTTTTTTTAGCGGGAATAACAACTGTGCAAAAAAACAAGAAGTATGCATATGGAAAAAAAAATTTTAAAAGGTTTCAGATTTTAAAATTACGTCCAAAGGGGCTCTTTTGGGTGTTATTTTTATTTATTAAATATCATGTTCTATGTACTCAAACCAGAAAATTCAGTTCAACAGCAAAAATGCAAAATAATTTTTAAATGAGCATATTTTTAGAATTTCCGATACAGAATCTCGTGCACTGGAGATAATTTTTTTTTTTTTTTTTTTTTCCTGTACAGTGTTGCCATTGCTCGCTTTGAAATTGTTGAGTTTGTTAATCAAAAATTCGTTGAAGTGTTACAAATTATGAAATCGATAATAAAACAAATTTCAAATTGAAATTAGGTTCTATGAAAGTTTAGGTTATCCAAATTTTGATGGCTCTCAGTATCAATGTTTTATCACAATGCGAGAAACATACATACATTCATACAGATTCCTCATTATTTAATTTCTTTAAATAGGTAACAATCTGAAAAGTGAAACAACTCGTGAATCGACGCAAAATGCCAAAACAAAATTAATAGTCCTTCTGAGTAAATTGCCCTTTTGGACTAATAAGTAACATTGAATGCATTATTGGAAAAGAATACAAAGATTACTCAAATAAATATTTCTCTCCAAAGTTACTAATGAGCTCACTTTTTGGTAGGATTGCAGATAATTAGAAAGTACTATTTTAGCTTTGTTCTTCAAAGCAATGACAATATATATTAATTTTATAACATCATAATTCAAATAATATACCTAAATTTTATAGCATCAAGTGGTGACAGAAAAATAAAAACCATGTTCTATTATCATGACATAGCAGAATACCAGTCACAAGGAGACATGCATGGTAAAATTCTAGGAGAGCAAACACCCTTGGCGACAAACTGAAAAAGTACACACTGCTTCGTGCGTTTCTCAAAATCGCCAACTTGAAAATACAAGTCAAAGAACTGCACAAACTCTGTATCTATGTACACTTCAACCTATTTTCACTTAAAAAAACATCACAGAATTGCACAAACTTGGCATTGCACACTCTTTTTTTCCATGTACACATTGATACGCACCAAGGAATGCTAGGATCCAATTGACATGCATATTTGTGAACCAGGTTTAGTGATGGTTGCTTTTCATCTCATTATAGCTTGTTCCAACTTATGCTCTTTAATTTATCAAAAGCCTTTTTTTTTTCCCCTTTGTTTGTTTCCCCCTCACACACACACACACACTCCATGAAGGGATGATGGTGTGACTGTGTATTATAAATATTTACTGCTTCTTCCCTTATTACTTTTTTTACATATATATTGCAGTTTCCATTACTTACACAAAATTTAAATAACAGGTTATGGGCAACCCAAATACATAATATAAATTAGCAAACAACCTAAGTTTCCCTTCTAGCATTCTTAGTAATTAAAAGTAAGCAAAATCCAATCTTCTTAGTTTAATCATATTTTAAAACAATATATCACACCTGCATATGTCATATAATGTTACAGATATCAATACTGATTAATGCATGATAAGCATACTCATATCAACTTATATACGAAAATCTACATAACTAAAGTGATATATTTAATATTATTCTTGTAGCTGAAAAAATTTGTTCTTCAAAGTAAACATTCCAAATGAACCTAACCGGTAATATTTATTTTTGCATTCCTGCTTATTTTTATAAATATGTTAACCTTTGTTATGGTTAAAATGCACAAATCTTTTTAATTAAAATCTGTATTTTGTTTTTGTCCTCCACATTGCACACTATAAACAAACCATTAACCCTACTATCTAAACAGCCGGCAACTTTCAAGAATTAAATGACTATTCATTCCAATGTTGATTACACATTTCTTACCTTCTAACATCAAAAGGCATATCTGCGTTATGAAATGTATGTAATAAAATTACAAAAGCACATATAAAATGAGTATTAACTTTAAAAAAACTAAAAATATTGACAGTTGCAAATTTTTCGTCTGCTGAGAACAAAATATTAGGTCCGAGCACCACGTTGCTCCACACGTGCTCCGTGCTGATTGGTTCAAAATACGAAACTTATTTTGCATTCTTCTACAGAAAAAAAAATTGTAAATAAAAATGCGTAAATTTTAATCTGTCTTGAATTTTATAAGTATATTTTTTAATTTATAAAACATCATTTTTTTTGCCACGTCTGAACCAATCAGATTATATGTTTACACCTACAAAACCTCGCCATTGATTGTAAGAAATTCTGTATTCCTCCGCGCAAAGAAAATTCATTAAATTACCTTTTCCTATTTCCTTTCATTTTTAATAGACCTGTTAAATATTTAATGTGTCCTAAAATGTATATACGAAGTCCTTTTGTTAAATTTCAGATGGAAAATATTTTGAACTTCATAATCTGCGGAAGGATAAGAGGACAAGCGACTGAGTGAAAAGTCTTTCATTCATAACTTGTGTCATTCCCTGTTCAAATCATTCTTTTCGTAGTAGTAGACTCAATCATTTCCGCTTTGTGTGACCGTTGGTAAAGGGAAAATGACTTGCTTCGTTTCCAGTTGATTGTTTCTTTTTATCCTTATCAATCCAGCTCGGTTTGTGGTTAAAGATACCAGCAATTTTCCGTTGATTTCATGCCTTCGTTCAGTGGTCCGACGAGGCGCTCCCGGCAGCTCCAGATTTTGGCGGGAAGCATGTACGGAATTTCGCCTGAACAACTGCGGGCATTCATTCACGTGAATGAAAATGACGAAAACACTGATGATAGTAACTTGGACAGGAAGCACAGAGTACTTATACTAGATTGTAGATCCTTTGTGGCCTACAATGCTGGACATATAGTGGACTCCGTTAATGTTCACTGCCCTGCTATCCTAAGAAGACGATGTGGTGGACGCCTGCCATTGAGGACAGTTATCCCAAACAATAACGTGCGGTCTTTACTCGCGAACAATCATTGTTTCCCTGTGGTGTTATATGACGATTACGGTCTTAACGTGAAAAATCTTAATGACTTGACAGGTGAGGAGTCTACCGCTGCTTTTGTTGCGAAGTGCTTAAGGAACGAAGCGGATTTGAAATCGATTTATTATTTAGAAGGTAATTATATTTATAATCATTTATATTAGTTCTTGATTTTTAATCCTCTGTAATTAACTGACTGTTAGATAAGATTTGTAAGTTTTGATTTTTCTTGCAACATCGTAATTTACCATTCAGTGTATTTGACTGTAATTACAAATTTACTTAATCTTCGGTTTGAATAAATTTAATTATTAAAGTTACTTAATAGTCACTTTTAGGAAAGTCAAATTTATTTCTAAGCATTATGTTTGCTTGTGAGGACTTACTTGTGTAAAGAATATCATTTTAGAATTCTAACGCGTAAATTTAAATGTTTTAAAAATTTCGTAAGAAATTTGAATATTTTTTAAAGCTGCCTTCTGAATTGGCTTCGATGAGATATGAATTCTAATATTAGAATATAAAAATGAATGACTGAGTAAAAATCTGATATATTCAAAAATGGTTTAAGCTTAGACATTCCGAAAGTAAACTTTTCATTTAATATAAATTATTAAATAAAAATTTATCATTTGAATTTTTTAAAACCTTGAAGTTATAAAATTATGCAAAACCTGCCTATTTATACCTTAGCCCCTTTATAAAATAGCTAGGTTAGTTATATGCTTACAAATTGATAAGTTAAGTATTTACTTGGTGTTGATTTAATAATGACTAAAGTATATTTTTCTAAAAAATTATATTTTTAAATATGAATAATCATTAGTCTAAAACTTAGATTGATGTAGTATTCAAATAAAATCAAAGAATGAATCTGGATGACCTGCAGTGTTCAAAATCTAATTCTTAGAAAGTAAAGCAAATTAAACTTTTTAACCATAATAAGTAATCAAGTTTTAATTTAAAAGGAAAAGTGAATTTTAGCGAGTTTCGCGCTGTTTCGTATTTATTTTATGTTGTGTGATAAATCGGGACAACTGTGTTGGATATCCGTCTAAGATCGTTTTTTGATGGAATCAAAAAATCGAAGATGTCCTACAAAATTTTAGTTTGTTAGTTTCCCTATGCATACACAATAATTTAAAACTGGTGCAAAAGAAACCAGTAGAATTCATGTATATTAAGGATATGTGTTTTAGAACAACATTTTTGTAGATGAATTTTAAAAAGCACTTCCGCAGAGAACCCGGTAAATGTAAACATCGCCAACTTTGGCGATAATAGTTCAAACCTGGTAACCCAGCGAATTTAACCTATTCGCTTGTCTTGCGTTCATTTTGTTGAATTATCACTGTCGTTATTCGCATTTGCAGATTTATATTCTTCTCTTATTTATTATTATTTTTTCTGAATTTTTTAACAACGAATAGATAGAAATATTTTTGTAGATAGATGCCGGTTCTCGGTTCGGGATGAAAGGAGGTGTGAATGCTAATTTGTAACACGGCTGTTCCAAAGCCGCCTGAAATTATCTTCAGGGGGCTTTGGCTGTTCACGTTGTGTTCTTAGTTATTAACAGCTCTAAGAACCATGAGGTTTCCAACCTCTAAAATAATTTGTTTCCGTAGGCCGCAAAAATGTACATGTGCATTTTAAATAATTAAGTAATGCTTTTATTATTGGTATTGTCATCTAAAATTATGACAATAAATCCATTTTTATGGCGTAAAATTTTAACAAGATAATATATTGTTAATGCTTTTCTAACAATAACCTTTCAGAGAATGGCAGGTGTGACATAAATATATGATTAAATTGAAAAAAAAAATATTATTGATTATCTAAGATGACAGAAGAATGTTTTGATGCATCACCATGGTCATCAAAATTAGCAAACCCACTGCTGGTGTAAGGAATATATTGTTTCTATGTTAACTGAATTTAAGATAACATTTTTTTCATTTACCAGGTAATTTCAGTACATTAATACTAATTTATATTTTTTAAATGAACTTTTATTTCCGTTATAAATGTTTATATATTGTCTTATGTTTAATATATTCTTTTCTGTGCTAACTTGATCGTGTATCACGTTAAACCGGTTAGTTTTACATCTACATGTTTATTATCTGTAAATTTTTACTACCATATGCTTAATATATTGTTTTGTCTGCTAACTTGAATTTACATGCACTAAAAATCATGTTTACGGCTTGGCTCATCGTCGATGAACCGCGAGCTTGGCGAATAAAAATGCAACGGCGCCAACGGGTTCTCTGCGGATGAAAACCCGAATTTTATTATGATTTATTCGATTGAATAAGATATCGGTCAAACGAAACTATTGATTAGTACTACAATACATAAATGAAATATAGGAAAATTAAATGTTTAAAAGCATACCTGAAAATGTGACTTTTCTTTTGAATGTATTATGTATATCCTGACTGTATAGTATATTATAGCTCTAGTTAGGAGAATTTTAAAATAATGGAATTTTTATCCTATTTATCAGTAAATTTTCATAGGCCTCTAATTACCACTGTTGTATGTTAAATGTGCATTTATTCTTTTGTCAATAACATGCCAAAAAATCAAATACCTTTTTCTCGAATTCCTATTGATATAAATAGCAGAACGAGTAATATTTGGTTAAAAACTTAAGCTGCATAAGAAATTAAGGTACTATTCGGTTTTGAGAGCCGTAAACAATCGCCAAACTATTGTTGATGCCAGTGCTGCCAAAAATAATTGCGGCAACCCTAATGCAAGAAAGGAAGTACTATAATAGTAAATAACTATTTAAGATTGATGTTTTAATTTAGATGAAAAGTTAATTTTATATAATACTTTTTATTTGCAATTCAAACTTATGTCGCTAATAATGAACGAATCCGTATTTTTTATATTGTACCTAGTGTGGTCTTTTCTCCCTTTGCTTGGCAATTATATTGATATACTATAATTAATTATCAGTACCAAATCAGATTTAACGTTTAATGAAGAATGGTCATGTGCACAAATGTTATAAATTTTCATTAAGACAATAAAGTTGGAAACAACTCTGTTCAAAACAAGTTCTGATTCAACGTTTGTCTAACGATCGCGAATACAACGAAGGTAAAGTACGCTAAGCATTTCTACGGAATAAGTGCGAAACAAACCACATTTTTCTGAATAATTTTTAGATGTAGCTTTTAATAAAAAAATGATTGTAACAGAATTTGGTGTTCAGTAAAGAACTACATAACAAGTACTGTAAATTTAGTTACATGATATGATAGAATATATTCAGAATAAATTGATATTTCATGCTCATAATGTAAAACACGCCTTGCATTTTGACAGTATAAGCACAGATATGTCTTCTAACAAGGAACGATCGTATCACCAATACTTAGCGCGTAATTTGGCGTCTAGTAAAATTCGGTCATTAAAAAAAAAAACTGAAAGCTTTCAGATTTTATATTTCATCCAAAGAAGCGGTTTTTAACTTACTGCGCGTTACCTTTATTTATTAAATATCCTATTCTTCGCACTTAAACCGTAAAATTCATTTCAACAGCAATATCGCAAAATAATTTTTAAATGAGCGTATCTTTAGAATTTCCGATGGTACAACTTTGATATACCCCCCCCCAAACTTACGCGCCAAATCTGGCACTCCCTACGGACTTTTTAGGGTAGCTGTTTCTTATTTTGGTGTTGCCAATTTAGGTTTTTTCAGCTTTTAGGTTTTCGCTGTTGCCAAATTTAAAGTTTTGTGGCAACAATTTTTGGATTTCATATATGTTTTACCGCCATTTCTTTGTGAAGTGATCAAGCGGATTTCTGACTTGCTGTATTTTGCTGCAAATCTGGTTGTATTTTCCAATTATATTTTTTTCTATTAATTACTTTTATTTTTTTAGCTTTCAATATGCCTACTGTATATAGTGTTGAAAAGTTTCGGGGAATTTTGAGTCGGAAAATTGATAGTTGTGCTTCATTTTCGTCGGGTAGGCCGACAGTTGGAAGGCCAGGTATTGTTAATTGTTTATTTTTGCATCATTTGGCTCAGGATATGCAGATGTTAATTGATTTTTTGATGGAGGTTGGATTGTTGAAGGCTGCAGTGCAGTGTGTAAGAAATGTGGGTCTGGTATGAAACAGAAGTATCGAGTATGAGATTTTGAGAGGCACTAAGACAGGTAGGATTGCAGAGGAGTATGGTTTCTCTAGTACTACTTTAGCAGCTTGGAGGCAATTCATTAACGAGACCATTTTTATATTATATTGAAGGAGAATTCTGAGAAGTTAGGTGGTGATGGTGTTGTTGTGAAAGTAGATGAGTCGAAGTTTGGCAAAAAGGAAGTATAACAGGGGTCATAGTGTTGAAGGTCAGTGGGTTTTTGGTGGTGTTGAAAGGGGATCAGGTAAGGTTTTTTTAGTTGCTGTGCATGATAGGTCTCAGGAGACGTTGTTGTCGGTAATTAAGGAATGTATTAAGCCAGGTACGTCTGTTTATTCTCATTGTTCGAAAAGTTATGATTGTTTGACGGATGAGGGTTTTGAGCATTTAAAGGTAAATCATTCCTTAACATTTGTAGACCCCGATTCCGGGTGTCGTACAAATACAATTGAAAGTACGTGGAGGCATGTTAAAGCTTCTTTGCCTACGTACAATCGCAAGGCAGATTATAAATTGTGCCTTGCGATGTACATGTTTCGTAAATCATGTTTAGCGGCTAATGTTGATTGTTTCAATAAATTTATTGAAATTGCTGCTGGGGTAAATTGGGAGGAATTCAAAATTTCTGTATAAATAATTCGGTACTTTTCCGTTTCGCCGGTGCAAATCTCGCCAAGCAGACTTTATTGGCGACAACATACAGTATACACATAAGAATTTTTTATTTTGAAGGCATAAACATTTTAATATCGCTTAAAATTTTATAAAAAGCCAATAAATGAAGACAATAAATTAGTAAAAAGACATTAATTTAAGAATTTACTATGCTTTCATGGTTCAACATCCTGATTCGCCGGTTCATATCACGTGACCCAAGTGATCTCATCTCATGTAAACTACTCTACAAAAATCTAATGCTCTCAGTAATTATCTACATTAATTTCAAGTTAAATCTTAATTTGGA